CCCCAAAACCCCAAAACCCCAAAACCCCAAAACCCCTTAAATAAAACTTTGTTTAAAAAAGAGAATAAAATAATTCTATAAAATGATCGAGAATTCTAAGGAAACATTGATGCCATTTGATATTAACTCTCCTGAGTACCCCCAGGATACTTACATAGGTAGGGTGCTAAATTTATTGAAGAGTCAAAACCCATTCAACTTCTATCTTCCTCACTCAAAGGTTATGAAGGCAAAAGATATCGTAGATACGGAGATTCGGTTGGCAAAAGAGTTAAATGGATCAGAAATATTGTACTCCCCTGAAAAGATTAAAGAAATTAGGATAGCTCAGAGTATTGTAAACTCTTCGTTTCATCCAGAAACAGGAGAGATTGTTCCAAGATTTTTCAGATTATGTTCATATGCGTCTGTCAGCGTCCCTGTAATTTTTGGAATGCTACTATGTAAGCCGACTACATTGAATATTATCTTCTGGCAATGGCTTAATCAGACCTATTCAGCAGGTATGAACTTTGCAAATAGAAATGCTTCAAGTACTTTGACCACAAAAGAGATTCTAACAGCTTATGGAGTTGCAGTTTCGACTAGTATCGGAATTGGCTTGGGAGTTAAAGCATTGTTGAATCCTCTTGCTAAGAACTTGAAAGGACCCAGTCAGATCTTCATTAATTTCCTAATAACTCTTTCAGCAGTTGGATCGGCAGGATTTTTAAATTTACTCATTATGAGATCTAAAGAAATTAAAGATGGTATCTCTCTTATTGATAATGAAGGAAATGACAGAGGAAAATCTAAGATCATTGGGAAAAGTGCAGTGATTAACACTGCATTGACTAGATTTATAATGCCAATCCCTCCTCTAATTGTTCCAACAGTTTTGTTTTATTTTATCGAAAATAATTTGAAGAAAAGACATCGATTGGTCAAACTAGGAGTGGAGATAGGCACTTTCTTTGCTTGATTAAGTTTCGGCCCTCCTATTGCATGTGGACTCTTTGAACAAAATATCAAAGCTCATATCTCCGGTTTAGAGCCAGAGTTTCAAAACCTAAAAGATTCTCATGGGAACCAAGGTAAGCGCTTTCTTTAACATAACATAGTCACTGAACTCTGGTATAACAAGGGATTATAGATGAATTATTCAATTTTGACAAAATTTCACGGGGTTTTGGGGTTTTGGGGTTTTGGGGTTTTGGGGTTTTGGGGTTTTGGGG